ACTGGCAGAAGGAAGCCTATCATAAGCAAATTATTGGAGGATTCAAGGAAGCCAAGGAGGCGGATGAGGGATTTAAGAAGGCACAGAAACCATGGGCCAAGAAACTCAAGGAGGTAAGGACCAGGACGGAAGGGAAATCCTTATTGTTCCTTAGATTCTCTCTGCATCTTAGACATCCTGAGGAGTAGCAGCGGGCCAAACGGTCAGCTTCCATCACTAACCTCTGTTTCAGCCTGTTTTTCACTGATCTTTTTTTTTTTAAATTAAAAATATAAAAATAATTCAATGTAAACAGTGACTTTGTGTTCCTTTGGTCAAATGCTTTTTGTAACCTTGAGTGGTGTGTGTGTGTGTGTGTGTGTGTGTGTGTGCTGGTACAAACAGATGGAGACAGCTAAGAAATCATACCACTTGGCCTGCAAGGAGGAGAAGCTGGCTGCGACACGAGAGGCCAACGGAAAGACAGAGGCGTCTGTCACTGCAGACCAGCAGAAGAAACTCCACGAGAAAGTGGACAAATGCAAACAGGACATGCAAAAGGTGACAAAAAAACACAGAGCCAAGAATGAAAAATAATTTAATTTGAGGCAATAAGAGTAAGAACAAATAAGAAGAGTGAGATTGAAGATGTGCATTTAGACTGTAGATTTTAGGAAGAAGAAGAAGAAGACGAACCTGACTGTAGAGCACGGTCCTGTTTGTTGTTATGCTAAAATGTTGAATTGAGAAAAAAGTCAGATCTCTGTGGTCATGTGACGTGAATCGTAATATTTATATTTGTGTTGTTCTCCTCTTTCGAAGGCCAAAGAAAAGTATGAGAAGTCCTTAGAGGAGCTGAACAAGTGCACGCCACAGTACATGGAGAGCATGGAGCAGGTGTTTGACCAGTGTCAGCAGCACGAGGTCAAGAGACTGACCTTCCTGAAGGAGGCCCTGCTGGACATCAAACGTCACCTCAACCTCACCGAGAACCAAAGGTTGGTGCGGATACAGACGGGTGGACTTAGTTACTGTGTAGTTAAATGGATCCCTGCTGGGAGGATATGTAACGGACGAACGGTGGACAAGCGCTCAGCCTTGTTGCCTTATAACAAAGAGCTGGTAATTAATCTGTGGAGATTAATCAGATTAAAGATTTGCATTTGAACACCTGGGCAGAAAGATGTTTGTCACAACAACAGCTAATCGCAAACGGCTGTTTTAGCAGCAGGAGTAACGAGAGATTAATTTATTAGTTTTTTGTATTTTCCTAATGATTTTCTAAAATGATTCCGGTTCTTTCTCCGTAACCATGTTTTTCTTTTGTGTCTCCCGCAGCTATTCCACAATATACAGAGAGCTGGAGCGCACGATCCTGGCTGCAAACACACAAGAGGACCTGAAATGGTTCAGCAACAATCACGGCCCTGGAATGCATATGAACTGGCCTGCATTTGAGGTATATATATATTAAAAAAAACAAAACAAAAAACAACTCCAGTGTTGTCATGGTTTATTAAAACTGACTTCAGTCACATGACTTCATTTCTCTGCTCTCGGCAGGAATACAACCCAGACCAGGCTAGTGCTCCTCCAAAGAAGAAGAAACCAGACGGAGCCCCACCCACTCCCAGCACTGACCACGTGGCTCCACCTGGTGATCGCAGCAGGTTAGAACAGGTCATATTTATTTTATGAAAAAAAAAAAAGGAGGCTGTGATCCAATGATCTTCTTCTGTTTGGATGAAAATGTGTGTTTATGGGAATTGTTTGTTTTTTTTAGAAACAACACAAAAATATCAACTCCTTTGTGTCTGTGCTGTTAATCTGTTTGTTTAATTATTTATTTGTCTAAATTCTAAAATCTATTTAGTTACTTTTTTATAAGGAAGCTGTTTATTGGGTTGTTTGTATCTATTAATTCATCCGTGCATGTATTTATCTAATGAGCCAGTTATTCATTTATTCATTTATGTTTATTTAGCTGTATTTATATTTCATCTTTTTATTTTCCTTATTTTTCCATTTAATCTATTATTTATCTTTCAATCTCTTTATTTATGTTTTTGTTTGTTCATCCATTTATTTAGTAGTTTATATTATTATTGATTTGTTACGCTTTATTTATTTATTTATTTATTTATTCCTCCCTGTCTTGCATGGCCTAGCGTAGCCTAGCCTAATTTCCGGGGCTTGTGTTTTGATCTTCTCCTGCTCTGTCTCCCTCCTCCAGTGTCAGCAGCTATGAAAAAAACCAGGCCTACTCCACTGAGTGGTCTGACGATGAGCAGCCCACCACATACTCCGGCAACGAGAACGGCGGGAATGGGAATTCGTTTGAGGACGACTCCAGCGCTGGGAAAGTTGTTCGTGTACGGGCTCTGTACGACTACGAAGGCCAGGAACAGGATGAGCTCACCTTCAAAGCAGGTATTTATTTAGCCTAGCCCTATTAGATAAACGACAGTTCATCCAAACTGTTGGTTGTTCTGCTCACTTGAACCACAAATGGAAACATGGAAGACGGGAGTTTGACGTCGAGCTGCGTCATCTAATCACCAGCGCCACGTTTATTTCTATTTATGTCTCTCTTCCTGCAGTCGATCACAGTTATTAGTCAATAATGGCTGTGTGGAAAACAGATGACAGGAACTTAACGCCCATTAACTCCAGCTTTTGACAAACTGACTTTGAAATGATGAATGTTAGATGACAGGAACTTAACGCCCATTAACACCAGCTTTTGACAAACTGAGAAACACGCAGGTTCATGACGTTTATTTCTAACTTGTTTTTATTCTCTTGTCAGTTCAGCCAGGATATATTTTCAGTGGCTAAAAGTTATTTAGACTTCTTTTACTTCACTAACTAAAAATACAGCCTCTGAAAAAGAATCGTTGGTCTTTAATGTATTACATGTGTCTGTGTGACTTTTGAATTTTGTAGACGCCCAGATCTAAGCAAAAGAAATGCATGTATAAATACAGACCATGATAATTACCCCTGGTGAGTGCAATTTTCATTTCCTGTCTTTGGTTTGTTCTGATTCCTGACTCATGTCTGTCTATCGTTTCTACAGTTTAATGGAATATTCTTTGTTATTATCGAATGATCGTGATTAATCAACATTTCTAAATATGAAAAAAAAAATTCTCTATATTGCTGGAACAGAAAGACAAATAACAGCAGGCAGATGTTTGTGTTTCTCACCTGTTTTTATTTGTGACTAATCCAAATGAGGGAAATGTTATTATTATTATCATTATTATGGAAATTATTTGGCAGCATTGCAGCTCATTTAATTAATCTCATACTAATACAGTGGTTTGTACAGATGAATAAATAAATATTACCACGCCTATATCAGTATTGGTTGATATCGGATATTAAGTGTTTGGGCAATATTGGCATAAGGAATATTGGCAAAAAGTTAATATCAGACATCCTTAGTTCTGAACAATCCATTTCATCATTGTGTCAGTCAATCTTTCAATCTTGGTTTATATCAAAGAAACACTGTTGTGTTCCTGGTACTGTTTTTATTCTGTTCCACTCAGTGTCTGGTGATGGGTGTCTGGGTCTGTTGTCTGTCCTGGGGTCTGGTGTTGGATTCAAAACCTTTTGGCTGGACGTCCACCTTCCACCCCCCTGGACGTACCGTGTTGACACCCAAACCTGTGTTGTGTTGTGTCCAGGTGACGAGCTGACCAAGACGGAGGACGAAGACGAGCAGGGCTGGTGTCGAGGCCGCTTGGACAGCGGTCAGGAAGGACTGTACCCGGCCAACTACGTGGAGCCTATCTAGTCGTGGCCCTGGACAAAGACAAGCCATTGGAGGCAGCTTGAACTGCCCCGTCCAATTGCACCGCACATAGCCAGAGACTTAAGAGCAACACATCCCTCGTCCAAACAGATGCGCCAAGCAGTTTTGCCTAAATAAATAAAAACTTAGTAAGATTTAAAAAAACAAAAAAACAAAGAACAAAAACAACGCGACCATATATCAGTGTTATATATTTTATCCAGCGTTGCAGGTGGGTGGACTGACTTACACATTCAAACACAGGAGCAGCAGTTATTCCACCGACTATATACACACTCAGCTGCGACATCGCCACAGTGCAGGAACACATTGCTTCTCTGTGTAGCTGTATTCAAGGGTATAATGCAGCGTCGTTATACTTGCAGTATTACTGCAGTGTGTTCTCGCGCGACACATGGGAAGTTAATATAATCTGTTAAAACCATCCGACAAAGACATGCTTCTCTAACCCTGCGTGGTGTATATACAGTGTGACGCCATCTTTGTGTAGCATTTTGGATGCTGTGTGATCAGTGGTCATACCTAACGTCAGGAATGCTGTGTCGTGTTCAACGTACAAACACACACTTTTCCTCTGGGTTTTTTTTAATTTTCTTCTGGTTTTTCCTTCCACCTGTTTCTCTGTGACCTGCTCCGACCTCTTCTCTCATGTGTGCGGTGCCGTGTGTTTATTACTGTTTTCTAGAACTGCATAGCAGCATGTGCTATGGAACCAATGGCTTTTCCCTGAAAAATCCCACCTCCTGGTGTGGGTCACACCCTGATGCAACACTTGGGCTACAAATGCAGAGGTCACAGTGGTCAGCATTGTCACATGCTTCTGGACATGCTTTCATTTTCATGCGAGGACGCAAGGTGATGAACCGATTTTACATTTGTTTCTTTTTGTCTTTTTTCTTCTTTTTTTTTTAGCTTTTTTTTTTTTCTTCAGCACAAATCATCTGACAACCTCACGCATCCTTGAGAAGTTCACTGCTTCTGTAGATGCTGACGTCACAGTTTAAACTCATTAACGCTAACATTCACCGGTCAAACTCCATTCTGTCTAATGAAGCCAGATCAGGTCAGCGCCGCTGTAGGAAAGACAAAGGTTTTTTGGAACCGTGACGCTTTTCTTCCAGAGCCAATAGAAATACGTCAGTGTTATCAGGTGACATGAATGTATCAGTGTTGGGGATTTTCTCACTGTAACTTTAAGCTCTTACTAGCTTAAAAAGAAAGAGTTTGGTGGCTCGTCACAGCAACGTCAGCTCAATGTTTTCTCGCCGTGCAATAATTTTCACATATCGCATCGACAAACCGCTTCAATGGAGATCAACTTGTAGCTGCCTCACAGTCCGCCCAGAACTCATCAGTCTTTTAAAGACGATGCTTGTTTTGCGAAATAAGCTAAATTGGCCACTAGGGGCGCATTGCTCAGTCATTCCTAGACTCTTATTTACCTCCTAATTGGCTCAGTCGTCTCTGAGATTTTTCACAGAGCCGATAGGTGTGTTCTGGGGCATCAAAATGAGGGGCGGGGGTATTTTAGGGGCCCACAATAAGATTATAATACTGACATAAAATAATATAACAATAGTCAAAAATCCATTAAATAGCTGTATAAGGAGCCCAGGGGGAAAAAATCTTTTCACGGGGCCCAAAATCCCCAGCAGCGCCCCCTGGATGTGTTTAACTCTGTATTGACAGAGTGTCACAGGTTTGGGTCTGACATGAGGAGGAACCCATCACCAGCTCACAAGTTGTGTCTTAGAGTTAAGCTGTCCAGCAGAGCAAAAAGGACTCCTGTCATCACCTCCTCAAACACACACACACACACACATGCAGCATCCAACACACAGACCACCTGATCAGGTTAACTACTGGGGGGCGGGGGGGAGACGACACCATCATCATCCAGTGTGTGTGAGTTGTGTAAATGTAACTGAAAAAAAATATATAATATATTAAAAAAAATGCAAGTGATTGACTATAAAGAGAAAACTGTAGTGTTATACATGTAAATGTGTTTCATTTAAATAACGGCAATGGAAAAACAAATGTTAAGTACTAGGCGCCATATCGTATGACTCATCGCAATGGAGTTGTCAGTGTATCATACCCCGAGCGTGACGTTAGCCCACGCCGTCAGATTTGTATATGATGATGTAATTTAAAGATGATATTCTATTGTAACTGTACAACTGTGTTGAGTTTAAAAAGAGACCTGACCACGTTGAGGCAGTGAAAGGTGTACATGTAAATGCTTTTTTTTTTTATGTTGACGATCTCTTCCTTATGCACACAGGGGGGCAGCAGCGGGCGTTGTGACAACCCTATATTAACGGTCTAGAACCATGTATGTTCATAGTTAGTGATGTACTTTTATCTCCTAACTGGTGTAGTGCCTGTTCATCTTGATGTAACAAGACGTTCATTTAAATATGCATAAAATGACTATGACCACAGATAAAATCCATGGTAGTGACGGAATGACCTGAATCCACTTTGTTGTGATGGTGTCAATATTATGATACTGGTATGAAAGGGAAGTAAGGTTTAAAAAAAAGATAGAAAAAAAAACAGGAGTTGGTGTCTGTGTCTTTTCTGTGTGAGGTGAAGGAGTTGTTTCTGCTTCGAGAAGAAAGCGTGTTTCTGAGTTGTTTCTGCTTCGAGAAGAAAACGTGGTTGGTTTTTTTGAGGGATTTTTATTGAACAAACTGAGAGAGAAAAAATATTTTGGAAACGTAATCACGGTAGTTTTAATAAAAACTCACTCTGGCATTGCTCTGCAACTTGGAAATAGGTTTGACACCTGGGAGTAAAAAAAGCACGAGCCGATATTCAACAATAATTTAAACAAGATGTTCACAATTAAAAGGAAAATACAGAAGTTTTTTTTTTTTTTGAAAAATATTAAAATGTAAAAATTAGAACACACCATCTTCATAATGCAGTGGTTCTCAAGCTGTGGTACAAGGGCCATAAGTAGTCTTGATTGCTCTCTAGTGGTCCATGGTGGAACTGATTCACCTGTTCTTCGGTTCCATGGTGGAACTGATTCACCTGTTCTTCTGTTGCACTAACGTTGTTAACTCTGTTGGTAGTATTGGTGGTACTTGGAAAGACACTTTTTTTTTTTTTTTTTTTTTTGCTAATTGTGATGCAAAAATGTGACACACGCCGCTAGCCATGAATTGAATGAAGTGCCAGTTGTAATGCTATTTTAATGTCTATTTTTTTTACAAATAATTAGGCTAACAAAATGGCATATTAGGGATCAATTCTCCTGTATGTTGTGCTTAGCTGAACAGGGTAGACCTGTACTTGGAGAGAGAAATATTCTGGAACTGGGATACGGTTTTAAAAAAGTTCAAGAGCCACTGTATTAGAGAAAATGCCATAACATTGTTTACTATAAAAATACTAAACTTTTTTCACCCAAGGCTGGAAAAAGAGAATTTCTCTCTCATTTCGAAGTTTGTTAACATGTTTCAACAGATGAAATAAGTCATTTTTAGGAACCCCACATGTGACACCAAAATATAATTAAACCGTAATAAGCGAAGAGGTTACTCAAGAAAACTGAGACAAAAAAATTCATAATAAAATGGGATGAAATGATCATAGGCAGGAGTGCATGATTCTTTAGGCAGTTTTTTTTTTTTATAACAAATGTGTTGCGTTCGAGTGACGTCTTCTGTATGTCCAGCATATCTCGTGATAGCCCACGGCTCACTCTGTTCTTAGTGACTCATCCTTCTTCTTCACAGAGGATTGACAAACTGATAGACCAGTCGGCGGGAAACGTCGGGCTTCCGGATGATTCCCTTCTTGTAGTACTGGCGTATGGAACGACTCAGCTTGTCATAGTTCATAGCTGGGCGGTTCTTCCTGATGCCCCACAGCCGGGCCACGTGAGCCGAGTCCTCTATTTTGAAAATTCCTATGGGCAAAGAAATCAGAATAAAATTAGCCTGGTTTGAATTTTGAATGACTGAGTCAGTGACACTGATGGGAATGTCTGACGTAGACTGGAATGTTCTGCTGCTTTTAGAGCGTATCTTAAATCTGTTTCTCCTCATTTATATAAATATATATACATATGTATGTATGTATGTATATATATGTGTGTGTTTTCATATAAGTGGGTTTTGTGGGGCTAAAACTGTTTAAAGCCTCGACTCATGTGCGCCCCCTTCTGTTGTAGTAGTCTGTTATAAGTCCAAACAGAATTAGTCTAAAACCCTATAGAATACGGATGTTTGTTTCTAAAGAGAGTGAGGGCTACAGTACACAGGTGGGATCAACAAAAGCTCATGACTACAAATAATGCTTGAATACAGTCTGGTCCAGTGGTTCTCAAACTATGGTACGCCTACCACTGGTGGTACTGGGCTCAAGTGTTTAGCAAGCATACAGTATACAGTGAAGGGTTCAAACTTAAGAACCACAGCCTTGTGTTTTTCATGCTGCTTGTCAATGTCTCTCTCTCTCTCTCTCTCCCTCTCTTTACCTTTCTCTTTGTTGAGCCAGCGGATGCAGCGGCTGTAGTTGTGTGGTTTGAGGAGCAGCTCTTGGAGGAACTGCCACAGGTGGATGGGCTGGCTGGGGTAACTACACATCACATCTGACCAGGAGTCATCGTCTGCTGCTGAGGGAGTCAGGAGTGGTATTAGGTATTTGGCTGAAATACTACGATTTTTTTTAAAATCCAAAATCAATCATTAAAGTTTTATGAAACAAGAGACTGTATATTGGAAATGGATGAAGCCCAGTCCTGTGGTAACATCACTGGTATCATCACTGGTATCCTAACAGCTGGCAGTAGTGGAACAAAACAACAAAAACTTCCTTCACGGCTTCATCTATTTCTTATACACAGTTTATTGTTTAAAATAAAATATCGTAGTGCTTACAAGATTTCCTCTCCTCTGGTGGGCAGCGCTCCTTCATAGCTGCAGCTATAAAGAAAAAAGAAAAATTAAACTCTAGGATTATATCACATATACATACAATAACAGAAGCTGCAGCTATAAAGAAAAAAGAAAAAATTAAACTCTAACTCTATTATATCACATAAATTAAAAAACAGAAGTATCTGATACCATTTTCTCCTGCAGGTACACAGCCCTCTGTGTATTTTATCATTTTTTTCCTGCCAGAAAATCAAGGCTTGACAGTGAGAATACTTTCCCTTAAGGAGTACCACAAAAGTGTTGTTTTTTTGTCACCATAGGGGGCAGTGCAGCACCGGCTCAGATGTGTCTGTGCAAAGATCAGACACATTTTAAAATATGGTTTTACCATGTAACAAAAAAAAACACCCCCTGCTGGAGGAAGAGGGGAGATTACATTTATAAATGGTAACCCAGTGGTTTCTAGTTATCTGCAGCGCCCCCTTTTGATAGACGCATTGTAAAGTCCCCCCAATATTGTGAGGCTCCACTTAATTTTATTTTAAAGACTAATTCCTACAAAACGTTTTTTTAAAATAGTACAGAGGAGAAAAAAAGAACACTAATTCCTACAAAACGTTTTTTTAAATAGTACAGAGGGGAAAAAAATAATAAATTACTAGTGAAGAAAATATTGATATTAAAATGTATTGTAATATCTTTGTGCCCACTAGGAGGCCCAATTCCCACTGCAGTAAACTAAATCCCTCCTGTTGTATCACCAGTCTCCTTCCTGTCGCCTCAGTGTTCCTACCTGATCTCCAGATGTCCAGGTGAGCGTACACAACGTCTCCAAACTGTAGGGAACGCTGTCTGAAGTCGGCCTCTGTCATGGAGCACAAGTCCCGCCCACTGAGTTCCTGGAACACGGCGCTGACCTGTGGAAGTCTGTACAGGTGCTCAGTCCAGAGCAGCCACTTCTGGACGTGAACGCAGCTCCAGTCCAACGGGTCTGGGGAGCGGAAGAAACCAGAACCAGAGGATACGTCAGTGAGAGTGGGGCACTGTTGTGGAGTCAGTTATGGAGGAGTAAACATTCAGCCTTTGTATAATGTATAAGCTTATGTTCAGACTCCTCATGAGAAGTGATGATGATCTTGTGTCAACAGAACAATTTGTTCAAGGTGTGGGCGGCCTCAGTCGCTCGTCAGGTGTGACTTGTGTCTCTGTGGGTATCAGCTAATGTCACGGCCGATAAACAAACAAACACTGTAACACCAGTGACGCATGAGAGGCGGTTCAGGTCAGGTTCAATATCTGTGAGAAAAGTGTCTTTTACCTGCTGCGATGTTGAGCAGCTTGCAGGCCGTGTCCACATCTTTCATCACCTCCCCCACCACCATGGTCTGGACCTGCTCCAGGCAGCGCTCCTCAGCTTGACCCTCCACCACTGACGGGGATTCCTGGGCAGGACTAAGTACAGGTGGTCTAGAATCCTGTGTCCTGTGGGAAGGAGCGAGGGGAACGGGTGTCACCGTTACCCCCGGCACAGAGGGGTTCTCCTCCATGACTAATCGATCGTAGTAGGGGAGGTAGACACCGGGCCAGCTGAGCTCAGGGAGCCCTAACAAACTCCGGGGTGGTTTGATGTCCTCTGTTTCATCCACCCAGCCTTCCCTGGGGTGGGTGTGCTGGTGACTGATGTAAAGGGGTGAGTGTGGGGTACAGCCGGTGGGTTCACAACCTGGACTCCCCATGTTTTTAACACTGTAAAAACAACAACAACGAAAAATTGATATATACCGTAATTTCCAGACTATAGAGCGCACCTGAATATATGCCACACCCACTAAATTTAAAAAGAAAACAATAATTGTACAGATATATGCCGCACTTCTCTAAAAGCCGCAAACGTCAACATAACATGAGATATTTACACAGATTTTTTTTTTCTCCTAACAGTGCCTGTAACACGGCTGGTTACACGTTAGCTCTTTCCTGCTTCTGCGCCCCGATAGTAGTTGGAATGCACAGGGGAGACTTAGTGATCTGCTCCAAGCTAACATTAGCTCCGGGGCTAACTCCCTCCACTTTGTGCTTGTCGGCAGCAGAGGTAAACAGAAACAGGGAAGTTGGGGGGTATTTATAATGAGCCACACCGAACACAACAGAACACAAACAGCGTTTTAACACCTTTATAACCATCTCACGCTTCAACATGACAGGCCTCAAACTGCTCTCAACTTTCGCTACCGTTCTCTCGCGCGCGGCGATTCACGAACGTACAAACGCTACTAATATAACACGCAGTAGATGACCAAGCCATTGATTGTTAGCGGTATGAACTTGGTTAGCTCGTAATAAAGAAAATCCATAAATTAGCCGCATCATTGTTTAAACCGCAGGATTGAAAGCGTGTGAAAAACGTAGCCGCTTATAGTACGGAAATTACGGTATATAAAATATTACTACAGTGTTTAGTTTGGACAGTTGTTCATCAGTTTGAAGAGTGACGATGGGGAGGCTGGGGTCAAGCCATCAACAAATACTCAATATTTAAACAGCAGCGATCCTAATGTCAACTCGGCATTTGTCCTGTAATATTTACTCTGTCCGAAACAGGCACAAGTTTGACTGAAGTCTTTGTGAAGGTCTAGTTAATGGAAGCCTTTGTCTTAAATCATCTTCTAACACTTTATTCTTTTCAGGGCCACTAGGGGAGCCCGAGACAATCCCGGCAGGTCTTCAGGTCAGAGTGGGGGTCAAACCCTGAACACACACCAGGTGAGAACGTACAACCTCACACAGCACTGGGGATGGTAGGGCTGACCTTGTTGTTGTAAAGCCAGAGTCAGAACCACGGCTTCCACCGTGTGGCCTCTTTTATATAACTTTTAAAATAATGATTTTATTGTCATATCAGTCGTACATGTATACAGTGTGTATGTAGTGAGAACATAAACCCAGCAGTAGGAATTTGAAAACATTCTGCTTTGTATATACATATATATGTGTCTATACATACATATGTATAGATACATATATTTGTATACAGTATATGTATATACACAAATATATATATATATATGTGTGTTTGTGTATATATGTATATATTAGGGTTGTTAAAATCTAATTTGTAAAATTTCTCAGATTGAAAATTTTAACATATTTTATTTTAACTTTGGACGACACCAGTCAATCCAGTAACTCCATTAGATTGAAAATTTTAACATATTTTATTTGAACTCGACGACATCAGTCAATCCAGTAACTCCACCATCATCCACTCATTGTTGTTCTAACACAGTTGACTGTCGCACCGTCACATCACGGGATGTTGATTTATCTGCAATAATCCTGAATAATAGTAATGAATTCCGATTGCTTGATTAACCTTAAGTCTTGATGATTAATCCACAGCTACACAGATTGATCAGAATGTAAAATGTAACTGATTGATATATCAAAGTGAAGAAAGTTTTTCCTGTCCTGCTGACCATTGACTTTCCATTGCCTTTCCACTTTGCAAACCACGTTAACTTTCGATTGACAGATCACAACTTGTTTATTCTGATTTAAATACATGTTGCTCTGTATTCTAATGCAAACATCATACCCAGTATTACACACAGGTGCATTGTAAGTAAACACAGTTTATAAAAGGCTCACACAGTGATGTGTACGACATCCACAGAAGGATTTAAAACATTTATCTACCTCCCACTCAGGTCCACATGACAAGGGACAGTGATGCAGCTCAGAGTTGGACTCCTGGAGCGACTCAGACAGGTAAATTAAATCCACTTTTAAACTTTTTTTATTTTGCTCCTCTGTCTGTCTTGTTGTAAAATGACTGTTCAGTCTACAAGCAGTAATATGGTAAAACTGACGGGTGAAACTCTAAGTCAGAGGGCTAAAAACAAAACAAACAGTAACAGACCCTGCCTTCAGGCTTTTGCTAGAGCTTAAAAAAATCATCCAAACCACCTCCGACTCTTGCCTCAGATATGACTGTTAATCTTCACATTCTTTATCTTTGATTAGCATTAGCATCTTTGCCTGTGTTTCCATGATTGTTATTGTCAACTATAAAGAAAAAGTATTTATTTTATGCTATAATAATAATAATAATAATAATGTGTCATAAACGTTCTACTAAACTTTAACCTAATTTATCAACAACTAAAAACACACAAAAAAAATCACCCAGTAACCTCAGCCAATCGTGACACAAAATATCATCAAATATAATTTGTGTGAGGCATCAGTGGGAAGATGGTGGTGATGAGTACAGTGAGAACGAGTGATATTTATTGTACACGGTCGGGGACAACAGTGTCATCTTCAACTTAGTCACTGAACTATTGTTACTCGTCTTCATCGCGATTGTTTTATTTTTATTGTTGTAGCGCGTCTTGTACTTCGATATCGTGATATTATACCACTACTTTGCAAATATTACTGCAAACTCCGACTGCAGTCAGGAGGCAGGTGATTGGAAGAAGAATCTTCGTCTTACCTTGTGAGTGTTTGACAAAGTTCTGTAGATTATCCACAGTTGAGGCTCTTCCCAACTCTTCCTCTCCTTCTTCACTGACAATGTGTGGACAAATGTCCACGTCCACCGGAGTCCTCGTCCCTCTTGCCCTCTGCCGAGGATGTGAGGATCTCTGTAGTTTTTCTGCCTCCTACTCAGTGAGGATGTCTAGTTTTCCTGCCTCCTACTCAGAATTCTGGAGCTTGAGCTTCAGCTCACTGTCAACCGCTCTGACACATTTGTTTGACTTGTAGCCGAAGCAGGAGAAGGGACGTGATGCCTTCGTGACATACAGTACCTGTTTTGAAAAAGAAAAAAGGGTGTGTCTTTTCCAGCTAGTGAGCGCCTACTAAATAATGACCCGGGGCCATGTTCACAAATAGTTCCTTAGGTCAACAAAGGCGATGAGACTCAACAGACTCTAAACAGCCTGTGGAGAAGCTACTTTTTGGCCGAGGTTTTTTTTTTTTCCCCCAAGTATCTACTGTGTACGTTAAACGCCTCAGTGCCATCAAATTTGATCCACTGTCCTATTATCCAAAGACATAAGTGAGTGACAGTATCATATGGGTGAGTGATGCGTGTTGAACAGGGGTGAGTCATCACTGGCCCATCCATATGGAGAACACGTCCTGGAGGTGTTTTGGAGAAGTTGAAAAACTGGTACGTGAAGTGGGAAGACGAGTTAAAGAGAGGGAATGAGATGGAGGGAGAGAAAGTCAATATTAGCTTAAACGACACACTGATGTTTTAGCAGTTGTGGTGAAATCTTCAAAGACCTGCTCCTCATGGTCCCGCCCACATGGGCCATATTACAGAATCGGCCCTGATGACAATTATTACAGAATTATGAACTTGTTCACCTGCTCAAACACGACTACAGCAGAAATTAATTTCTATTCTACAATAGCTCTGTGCCTTCTGGGGGTAGACCGCCCTTATTTTGAGAACCACTACCATTGAAAAACAACATAGGTCTGTGCTGCCGTATTGCAACGCACTAGTTTGAGGCAGCACGTGTGAGGGGAGGTTATGCATAAAACATTTTAACGCCCATCATATATAATTTAATTATTTATAATATATAATGTAAATATAATTATTATATTATGCACTACCTGTTCTGTCATTATTACACAGTAATTTTTATGGAGTGAAAGGAAGTGTTTTTCAAAATATAAACATGCAGAGTAGTGTAAATGAAAAGAAAAAAAAGAATATAAAACTTTTAATTCTTTCTGTCTAATGTAAGCCATTTTCACGTTTTCTTATTTCCTATTTGAGTTAGAAGTAAAGCTTCACAAACATGACACAAAGTCTGGGTATTGATTGAAGTGATAATTTAATCATACAAACATTCATCAAACATCCATAAGGGAAACAAACTTTCATTTGTTCGACTGTTTGCACGTCCTCACTTGCATAAATGTGCTGTATCAATAGTTTAATGCCAACTGATTCATTCTGCAGTCTGTCCTGAAGGAACTCTGAAAGACTTTACACAAACAGCAAAGCACACTCGGCGCTTCTGATAGTTCTGACGGACACTTCCAGACAGTAACAGATCAAATATATTCTGAAATAGAAATGAAATCGTGATGTGACGACAACAACGGCCCAGGGCCATCGCACGGGTTCTACAGAGTCGGCTGTTACTGTGGTGCGGTCACGGCTCTGTGACCCCTGCACTTAACAGTTAGCACCTCAGGGAAAGGAGTATTAACCTGACACGGTGGTCTAACACACTTCTACTGAAGACCCAGACATAAACATTATGACGTGTTTCAAGTCTACCTGCTGAGGGTTGCATTACTGAGAGCAAATATATATTTTCTTAGGGGAAAAAAAACTGTGAGGGTTGCATTACTGAGAGCAAATATCATATATTTTCTTAGGGGGAAAAAAAACTACATTAATATTAAGTATTGATGAGGAACATATAAAATTAATCTAAAAGACAGGAAGGGGCAGAACACGTATGACACTTGACAAAACCACCTGTTATGACATTGGTGTGTGTGTATGTATGCATATATATGTATGTATGTATATATATATGTATGTATAGACATATGTAAATATATATAAACACATATACAGATATACTGTATGTATGTATATGAGATTATACATTCATGATCTTCAGATCATTGTGTATGAATCCATATATATTAAATTTACATATAAGTGTATATATGTATATGCATATATATACACATATATACACAGATATGCCTATACAACATATATGTTTATACATACATATATATGCATATACATATATATATAAAACTTGATCCTCTATGTGACTTTTCATATACATTCATATTAACGTTATAAACGGTTTCATTTTTTTAATTCAGAGTAAAAATAATGTCACATTTGAAGTTGGGTCTTTACTACAGTTATTATGGCTTGCATAATGTTATTTTCTCTTTGTTTTTTTAGAGTGCGATTTTCAGTGAGGAATTAGTGAATATTATATGAGCATCTGTATAATAATCTACTGTATAATACTGCATTATTACGAGTAACGGGTACACTGCTGATGTTTTCATGATATTTTGGAGTTGTGTATTCTCCATTTACTAAATAAAGAGATTGCGCTTCATACCAAACTACATTTAAAATAAATGTCTATAGTCCAACCACAGATTTTTTTTTTATCAAGTGTAATAGCTGACTCCCCCCACTGGAAGGCCAGTGCATGTGCATCTAAAACCACCGGTACATCACCACAGCATTTCAGTCCAATTATAAACAGGCCTTGGTTAAAAAAAAAAAAACAAACTTTGTTTCCTTGTTTCCTAAACAATTCTGATATCTGATGGCCAGTTGCAGAGATAGTCATGTCATCAGGTTTAAATACCCATCGATAAATTAAAAATTCAGAGAGAATCAGTTGGCAAACAAAATGGCTTTTCCTCCAGATTCGGTCTCTCAGTTTGCACGATGCACACACACATATACACTAAATATATCCACAAATATACTCTCCTGTCATCATTTTTTTTCATATGCACTCCGACAACTAAAAAAAAAAAATCGATAAAAAGAAGAGAAAAAAAATCACTCAAAAGACCCATAGCACTCATTTTTAACTTAGCATTCACACGTGCATACAGTGGGTGTGATGTTAGTCGAGCTGCACGTTGGGAGCGATGGCCTCTGGTTTTAAAGGAAGTAGCTGGAATTTGCATAAAGTATTTCTGGATCTCCATGCTCTTCAGCAGCTTCTCTCTCTCTCTCTCTCACCCTCGCTCTCTCTCGCTCTCTCTCTGTAGGATGTGACTGACCCCAGTGGTATGCTTCGGTGCTGCTCTACTGTGTGAAAAGTCCAATAATCTACGAGTGCCCAAAAGGATAGGACTCCTGCATACCCTGCAAGAGAAGGACATGGTGACACGGCTGCATCTGTTCAGGCTTAAGCATCTTATTCATACCCTTTCTGCCCTAAAGTAAGTAAGTAGCAATAATGCAAAAGAGCGACAGCTACTGTTTGTCTTAGATTAGCTGAGGCGTCCATATATAAAAGCCTTACTTGGAGCCAAATATCACATCATTACTCATCCACATTCGTCACATGGATCTGAAGATAACAGTAGGGGGTTTAGAGGGTGGGAGGAGCAATTATCTTGGTTATCAGCTAATGTTGTATGTGAAGCTAAAATTCTGGTTGGTACATTATGAGCAACTCGTAAAAAACTCACAAGGGATTCCATTTAGAGGAAAATAGCGGATAAAGCATAGAAAGTGATAATGTACATGAGTGAACAAATGTTTTTAAAAACATTGTGTCACTGGGCCAGGACACTTATGTAAAATGAGGAAAAAATAAAGGGGTGGTGGGTGGGGGGGTAATGACACGCACTGTATGTGAATTACCACAGTTTACAGAGCATCTGTCTCACAGCTGATGACGTAACAAATCTCAGGCATGTCTACATGTGGAAAATAAACCGAGGAGCAGTGGTTTGGTGGTGTGGGACGCATGTGTCTGAGGGGGGCCGGCAGGGTACATCGGGGGGGGCAGTTTGTCACGCAGAATGAGAAAGGACATTTTTGCTCCTTAAATGTAAATAATGACATTTCAAAGAAAATGAGAAGACACCACTGCTCCGACTCAAACCTACGAGCTCTGATCCTGGTCGTACTGTCTTACCTGGTTACAAGATACTAGCGATAGATTGCTTTGAAGACTGTTTGCTACTATGTCCACAGAGTTGTGTGAAAGTCCATTCTGATCTTGCTGTTGCTGGTCCGGGCTTCCCTGCCAGTGTTCTGCATCGACCATGTGACCACTGTCGTCGTGGAGGCTGTTGTTGTTACTGTTTGGGCACTTGTTCTTCTCCGGAGAAGCAAACGGGTTGTAGTTTCTTTCCAGGCTGCGATGAGGCTCTGTGTTGAACTCAGCTTTGAAAGAGGAAAGCTGCTGTGTCACCCCCAGGAGGCCCCCGACCTCCACACTTAGGATCACCCAGATCACATCTGCCGAGAGAAATAAAGTGAGTGGAATTTAACACACACACCTGTTAAATCACTTCTGAAAGTAATCAGATGAAAAATGTGGATGCATTTTAACGCCTGGGCTGAATGAACAATAATAATAATAACAACACTATATACAATAATTGGCTTTGACCTAATACACACACACAGGCATCTACCTGCAGTTATTTGTCTTACTTTTACAGTTATATATAGAAAAGATTGTCATAATTATGAATACATTTCTCTTGATTAATCATGATTGTTGTTATTAATTATTATGATAGATTGTAATTAATTAAGAGATCTCAATTTTTCAATCTCTACTCCACAGCTACAATGTGATTAATCAGATTAAAACTTTTAATCATTTGACAGCCCCAGTGTTAGGTTATAAAAACCTTTACACACAGTGTCCTGCAAAGGCAGCATTTATTCAGGACAAATCCATTAACCACAGCTAATGTCTTGTTGTTTTTCATGCTAAAAAGATTTAGCTCAAATGAACGCTGAACAAAGATTTAATTTAAGTGTTCTACAGATAAAATCACCCTGATCTTGTGTCATGTTTGCACTAGTGCACTAGATGGTTTGCACTACCATCCTTAGTCTGAGATAGCATCCTCTGGGTAATCATTTCATTTTAAAATATCTTTAACAACGCAAAGTGTTACATCGAAGATCAGACGAACCAAAACCTCAGAGATGGAGTGGCTGATGGTGTTAAGTGAAGAATTACTACTAGGATTATCATCCTAATTAAATATTGAGGCTGAGTGTGATTTGTCTCTCTGAGCCTTAGTGGAGTCCTGGTTCATGTCATTATAAGTGTTGAGTTTGTAGGATGACATAAATCACTAAAATGAATAGCTGTTGAATCTGTGGTACTGCAGCAAATGAGAACGGACAGATCCGGTGCTTCATCTTCACAAATGATGTCGTCTAATGAGACTGGCTATTATCTTGTAATACAGTATACTTTGTTTACTTTATATTATTGAAAAATACAGATGAAAATAACACCAATATTATTCTTTCTTCATTTCTATTTATTTATTTACTACATATTTTTGGTTAGGGAAATGAATCTATCTGTTGCTGTCCTCACCTCCGTAGTAAAGTCCTGTCGCTGTGCACATCCTCCACTGGCCCTGGTACATGCCAGGAGACACGGGGCTCTGCATCTGCACGCTAACGTCAGCCATTTCCTGAGGGTCCAAAGACCTCACCATCACCAGGTTTACATGGCCAAACTGATCGCCTCCCACATACTTCAGGCAAACCCCTGGAGGCCACGACTCTGCGCCTGAGTCACATAAACAGCAACGCTCCATTAGGCCTGACTCGTACTCTAAATGACTCTAAATGCGTGTTCAAGTCATTAAACCTGGCACTTACCTGTGTTCTGTATTCTCCAGGTCTTTGTAAAAGGTGTGTCGGGTGGAACGGACTCGCCCTCGCCGATTGTCACGTCCTTGACAAACGACATGCACGGTGCGTTGATGTTAGGGCTCTCAAAATCATAGTAGGCTCCGATGGCTGCCTGTAAATTCCTGGGACAACAGACGAGGTCAGCTGGTTAGTGAAACACATTTGTCTCCTGGTAGCTGTCTTTTATAGTGAATGAAAAGACTCTACAGCAGAGGTTCTTGATGTTTACAACAGTGAAGTGTTGTAAAAAAAAAATGAATACCTTACTAGTATAACCAACATATTATAACCTACTTATTGAGCAAGTATAACTGCTTCCCACTACACCTCTAGTACCAACAGTGATATGTTTACCACAGATTGAGAACCACTAACAAATAATATCAGTGTATCACTGTCCACTTTTTTTAATAGAGGTATGGGTCATCAATTAAATTAATTAAGTTTTTGATTTAAAGCCCAAAGTAAGTTGTATTTATAGTTACAGAGAAAATCACAGTTTAGTGTTTTGACCGTGAACAATAATGTAATCTCAAGGCACAAAGTCCAAGAATCCTTATTGTTTTACATAAGTGTGTAAACTGTGTGGATGATTCTGAAAAAAAAAAACAATGTGTAAAGTGGTTTAGTACTGTTTCATACCGTTAGCAGCAGTAGTAGTCCTTGTAGCACTGCAGTAATTGAAGGGATTTTTACTAAAGTAAAAAAAACACAAAACTGCAGTTTTTATTTTTAGAACGTCTACTGCAGGGGGTGCTGTACAATCATGTGATTTTACAACACGTGGCTCTGCACATAGAGACACTTGACTTTTACAGTCAAAATACATGAGGGAAAACTGTAGGACTGTAAACCCGTACCTTAGTCTGTGTAAGTAAACAACACATGATGAAAGACATGGTGTGAAATTGTTCAGTTGAACGACTGTAATGCAGCATAATAACTTTTATTCGAGTATATTATGCACTGATGAAAACATGAAGACCAAATCTTTTAAATAGAGGTTAATCTGATCACTTAAGAGTTGTCGGGTTTTATCTTTTGTTTTCATCTCAAAAGGAACTACATTTACAAAGCTGAAGGAACAGCTGTAGGACTTTTACAAAATGTTCAATATAAGAAGTTCTGAAACTAGCATTCAAGCAAATGAACTATTCAAAAACATGTTTATTAATATTACTGATAAAACTGGTCATCTTTCAGGGCTTAAATGTGACTAAGGATCGCCACAGTTTCATAATCTTGTATACAGTATTTCTACATTTATTCTGATCCACGTCATAAATGTTGCCCAATGTTTGGATTTTCTCATCTCTAAACTGTTTCAGATACCTCTTCAACAGTATCTACTGTGTACTTTTGTAGTATACTTTTATATAAAAAGGCATCTGCTCTCGTCAGCAGATACAAATAAATCATATTTTCATCATAGATCATAGATATAAATGCTAAGACGCTCCAGTCGTAGCACAACTACAGACTGCACCGGGTGATATTACGTGTCTGTTATTGCGTAATAAACAGCTGTAGTAATGTAGCTGTGGTAAAGTAGAGAAAGACATTTTGTCCGTGGACAACATTAGTGACTGCTGTCCACAGTCTATGTAGTTTAACTTTGGTTCGGTGACGTAACAATCCTGGTGTAACGTTAGTGACCACCTAGCTTCATGTTTATAACTCATGTTTAGCGCAGCGAGAAACCACAAAACATTTCCGTTCATGTTTATAACTCATGTTTAGCGCACGGAGAAACCACAAAATATAATATGAAAAATAAACTCAGTAATAACGTCTAAAGAGGCGAATGTGTTTATATTAAAATGTGCTTTTAGCGACTGTTGATCGTACGAATGCCACCAAGCTAAGTTGCTAACGGTCACTGGAAGTCAAAAGTCGGAAACACACTGACTCAGCTGATTACGTACTACGTCTTTGCCGTGAACGCCTCCATGTTTACTCACATAGTAGCGTAAAAATGACAAATAAGGTCAACATTTGGAGTCGATTGATTTCTCTTCTCTAGATAATTCATTCTTAAAACCCACAACACAATCGGTAAGCTAGCTAATGGACCATTTCTATCAGCTAATATAAACCACCCAGCAGGCCAAGACGAGTCCCCGAGCTCACCAGTTGGTCATGTCCAGAAAGAAGGCGCATCCTGCGGGGTTTAACTGAAACCCGAGAAGCCTCTGGAATTCCGATATTAGGATATCTTTGTCCGTCGTACCCATGCAGCTGAATTTCTGCATGAGCTCCTGGTCCAGGTCCAGGTCCAAGTCCATGCTTTCCATCACGGATTCTCCCGTACCGATACGGGGGTGGGGGTTCACGTCTAATTTAGTCCGAGGCCTCGACTTGTCATAACAAACTCAACAACAGGGCCGAGTGCGCATGTCACATGATTCCCTCTGCTGCGACTTGTACCTGAGGAACTGCAGGAGCAGAGACATCCGTGACCTCTACCACATCCGCTGGACTGTTACTGACAGTCGAATGGCCATCAGCCCGTGAGCGCAGAAGAACAAACAACGGTGTTGTTTTTACAATGTATACGTTTACTACTACTAGATTGGAAACTAATTTTGATTCCAAATAAATTAAAATGTTAAGAAAATTACTATTGTAATTTGATAATTTTTGTATTATTAATGTTTTAATTATTTACTTACCGATACAAATTGTCTACTTTTCAATACTACTTTGTGGGTTTTTTTGTGTCTACCTTTTTCCGTTTTAACTGTAATCTTGTTTTTCTATGTCTTTTATATACCGTGTTCCAATTATTTGTAACTTCTATACTGTATGTTTTTGTCCTACATCAAAACAACAAAGCAAATTCCTTGTATTGATTCTAATTCCATTTCTCGTAATCTATTGCAATGGTTCTCAAACTAGTCTACATGTGCTACTTGTGGTACTGAGGGTCCCTCTAGTGTTACATGGGGGTTTAGGGGGAGGATTATATTTTCCTGAGATAATTTAATGTCACAATCACCATCGGAAAAAGCTTTTTTATTGTCACTTATATATATATATTTTTTAGAAACACATAGGGAACATTAAAAAAAGACAAGATACCATTATTGATTCACTGACACCAACAACAGCAGCTGTCACACATGTTTACTTAGATGATTGGATTGGAAGAGTAAAGGGATCAATATTAGGCAACAACATTTTACTTTAGCACTTAATGTTGTCGATCTGACGTGGTTTAAATCTGCTTAGGTTTTATGTGGGCCACAAATATGATATCTTCCTTATTTTTAAAAATCAATAAAGTCGAATTTCAAGCAAAAACATTTTTAAACCAACACTAATGTCACAATAAATGTATCGACTCAAAGATAAGAAAAAGTTCACCTGTCAACTTTCATACATTTTTGTTTACAAAAACAGTGTAACCAATGTTGGACGCATGATTTCGCTGCCACCCTTGAGCTCCATTTATACGTAAGCATAACCCTAATGTGTGAAACATGGACACTTTATGTATTTTGAATATAGTTTCTGTCAGTAGTGCAAAATGTTGACGGGAAATTGCCTGGTATTGTGTCGAGTAACAGCGAAAAGTCCAATATTTTACCCTTCCTTCCTGAGATTCCCGACACTGGCTTAATCAGATGCCATATTTAAGAAATCCCTTTATGTACAGCAAGTTTTAATAAATCTAGTTGATAGTTAAAACAGTGTCATAAAAGTTAAATACTTGTGTATTTTTCTCTTTAATTTAAAATCGTGTATGTTAAACTGCAATGCTCTTTGCACCCACTCGTTTTTCTATATGCAACCAGTAGGTGACAGCATTGTGCCGTTACTCTTTATTTTGAGCGGGTACTTTTTCTTTTTTTTACGAGAATTTTAGGACCTGCATTGGTCTACTTTTAATCCTTCACTGTGGGGACATTTTGTTATGCCATACTAAATTCTTAAAGGTTTATTTGTAGATCTAAAGATGTAGAGTCCGATTTAGACTTTTTTACCTGGCCAGTTAAAATAGGGAATACTTAACAAAAATACTGTATACGTATAAAAAAAAACATACGCGTGCGTGGGCGCGCGCACGTTTGTAGGAGGGTACCATGGCGGTTCCGCACAATTGGAACAGTTAGCCCAGCAGCCCGTTCTGCTCCGTGCACTGACAGCAGCAGCTAACGAAATGCACACAGCTAACACTATGTGCAAAATTGAGGTGCCTTCAAGCTAGTATTTGTTAATTTTAAGGGGCTCAGCCAGACACGAACACTAGAGAATATGGCCGGGATCATTAAAAAGCAAATTCTCAAGCATTTGTCAAGGTAAGGGACATTTTGCCTCTGTGTTAGCCGGTTAGCCATCAGCTGCATATGATGCTTTAAACGTCCGTGTGTCACAGCAAGTGTAGGACCGCTGGTATTTGGCAATTTCATGAAGTTGCACCGATTTACACGTAGCTTTTAGAGGGTCTGACACGTCGGTCTGACAAGGTCAGTGAACGCAGCACACATCTTTGAGAAACAGACCAGGGTTAATCACACTGTTATATCTGTTTCTGTATGACATACTGCTTTGATGTTTTCTTGTGAAAGCTACCATAAATTCTCTGGGCCATAAAAACACCTTCTATCTATAATCTGAAAAATAAAAATATGTTCGGATGCAAAAAAGGAGAGGTTTTAGAACTGCCTTGTGAAAAGTAAATGTAGGAATGTATTTTTTTTTTAAATGTATTTGTTTTCTTTTTTTTCTTAGGTTTATTTTTAAAAATGCCTTTTTTGAGTCAGTTTTTTTTTCCATTTATATTTTTAAAAATGCCTTTTTTGAGTCACAGATTTTTTTTCCATTTATTTTTTGCATTTGCAATAACCTATGGCAGTGGTTCCCAAAGTGGGGGCTGGTCCCCCCTTGGAGAGCACAGAGTTTTTCAAGGGGGTCTCAGCAGGTCAAATTAATTAAATTTTAAATGTCTTTTTAAATCTGCCACAGTGGAAACATTCACTGATTTGTTATTTTATTTATTATTTCAGAGAAAACCTCTGTTGTCTTTTTAAATCTGCCACAGTGGAAAAATTCACTGATTTGTTATTTTATTTATTTCAGAGAAAACCTCTGCTTTCTGTTGTTAGGAATTACAGTGTTTTAAATATAGTTCAGTGGAGTTTTGAAGCTGTGTCAAGAGAACACTGTGGTAAGCACTTCTCGATGGTAACTTATGTGGTGAAAGGTCGTTCTTGGACAAAGGTCTAAATCAGAGACTTTTTAACGACCGTCCTGTCGTTTGCTCCATCTTCTGTTTCACCACTAAATAATTAAAGTCTTATTTGCACCAGATAGAGCACTGGGCAGATCCTGGTCAGCCAGGCACCTAAACTCATTAGTGCAGTAGGTCACGTTTTTTTTTTTATTAGCCTCTGGTACTATTCATTTCACAGTGTCCTAATTGTGAGCATGAAAAAAAAAAACCCTTAAAAACATTCTTATCTGTTTAAACTCGTGCTCCGTACTAATGTTGTGAATGTGTACTTCAAAACCTAAAAATGCAACAGTTTAGTTTACAGGCGTACAGAGGAGTTTGGTATTTCTAAAATGTGAACCTGTTGTTATTTTTATTGACATTTTTCAATATTTCCCATTTTCCCATTCACAGTGTTGTTTTTAAAGTGCTTTATAAATAAATGTTAGTTGAACTAAGTGTCCGGTGTTTAAGAAGATTAATTGTTTGTTTGTTTTTTCGTGTTTTAGTTCTTGCACTTAAAAAGCATGAGGATTTGTAAGACTATTAAACCGTTCTTATCACTGTACTTAGATCGATTAATATTAGATTAAAAAAATGTTTTGAAGGCCAGTTTTTAATCTGCTGTTCCAAAATGATTTTGTTAAAAATACGGTTTGCTGATAGGTCGTGTTGGTTCAGACTGGTCAACCTTTCATAGACTGACTTCAACTGTCATTTTAATTTCTCCCTCTTCCCAGGTTCACCAAGAATCTGTCACCAGACAAAATCAATCTGAGCACACTAAAGGGGGAGGGGCAGTTGTCCAACCTAGAGCTCGATGAAGAAGTTCTGCAGAACATGCTCGACCTGCCTACCTGGCTGGCTGTCACGCGGGTCTACTGCAATAAAGCTGCTATCAGGGTAAGTTATGAAGAAACACCTCTGTACAACTGGTTAGACAAGTCTGGTTCTTTAAGCTGCTGTTTGACCCTACCAAGAAAAACATTGTGCTGATCTGTCTATTTAGTGTCTGTTCCTCTGGAGAGTCTGTTTGACTCATCTCAAAGAACAATCTTTTCTAACGACACTAGTGATGACACAGACTTCCAAAACAGAACTGGTTGTTGATAATGAAGGGAGGCAAGCTGTGATTCACAGGGACAAAAAGGGCCAGAGGCAAAGAGATAAACCGACCGATGTACAATGAGCTGTAGAAGTGGCTGCTGTGTGTTTTCTCCCAACGCATCACTGTAACACTGTACCTACAATGTCAAAATAATGTGATTGTTGTTAAAAGAAAATTTTATTTATATATATATATATATATTACATTTATATTTAATTTATTATGTCATCTGACATATCTATATATAAATATACGTATGTATATGTGTAAATATATGTATACATGTATAAGTATATATATTTGTGTGTTCATGTGTGTATATGTATGTTGTCGTCCATGTATTTAAATGTGTTAAATTTCAACAGCCTAATCATAGTAACCACCGAACCAGTTTTGGCCCACAGGCCGTATGTTTGACCACCCCGTCTTAGACTGTAGGATTTAAATAATATGATGCCACAAAATGCATTTTTCGCCATATCTGGTTAATAATGCAAAATCTTAAGATATGCTGAAAGGATTGTAAAAAATAGCAGATCCAAATGTTGACTATATTTAAAATAATAATCGATTCAAATCTAATCATAGAGACGTGAGTGTTTATATTAAGCATGAAAGTTCTTGGTTTGTGTCTGTGCTCCACACTGTGGCAGCCTGTCATACTGTGACACTGTCGGTGAGAGACCGTGTTTTGACCTTGTCTGTCTTCTCTTGTCAGATACAATGGACGAAGTTGAAAACCAGCCCCATCTGCTTGGTAAAAAAAAAGAACAACTTATTTCTCTGTCCACACAGATGTCTTTGACACTTAACTTCCCACACCTAGATAAACTGACCCTAACTTTAGCGTGACCTTAGCCGTGTCACGCAGTTTAACGGCACCGACAGTTGTGTGTTTTGTAACGCAATCGTCAGTAAATATTAGGCTACTTCTCTGTTTGTTCTGTTCGGTGGTGTGCTGATATAAAATATGGCCTTCTTACAGTTCTTGGACAAGGTGGAAGTAGAGATGAGGACGTGTGAGGAGCCTCGTCCCCCCAACGGCCCCTCACCTATAGCTATAACAGCAGGACAGAGGTGAGACTGAATGAAGACTGAGTTCAAATGACTTTTTGGGGGTCCTGTTGACACTTCCTCCGCTCACGTCCGTGTTGTGTTTCCACAGTGAGTACGGTTTTGCAGAGAAGGTGGTGGAGGGCATGTCGGTCAGGATCAACTCCATCATTATCAAAGTGCAGGCTCGGGCCTTTCACGCCTCTTTTGAGCTCTGGCAGCTACAGGGCAACAGCCTGAACCCCAAATGGCAGCACAGTGACCTCCGCTACACCCGCGTCACTGACCCAAAGAGAGGAGAGGTGAAATGTTTGAGTTGATTTTGTAACAGGAACCGTTTGTTTTGTTTGTTATTATTTATATGATGTTATTATATTTTTTTTCCACATCAGGTTTTGACATTTAAGGAAATTAACTGGCAGAGTCTGCGAATTGAGGCTGATGCCATTGAAAGTGACGACCAGGACCTCAGCAGCACGCCGCTACGTCTCATCACCAACCAGGGACGCATCCGCATCGCACTCAAACGCAGAGTATGTTTTAACCTTTCACCGTCAGAAATATTAATGGAGACCGATGTACAATGTTCACTCGGTGACACTTTACTTTCATGTTTAGATAAAGGACTGTAATGTCTTGGCGTCCAAGCTGCTCTTCATTTTGGACGACCTGCTGTGGGTTCTGACGGACTCCCAGCTCAAGGCCATCATTCATTACGCCAAATCACTCAGTGAGGCCATGGAGAAGTCGGCCCAGCAGAGGAAGAGCATGGCCGCGGAGTCTCTGCAGGTACGGCCTTCTGCCGACTCATCAATAATTTGTTGGAACAAATTAGGGGCAAAAAAAAAAAGACACTTTCAATATTTAATGGAAAATAAGTCCGTCAACAACTTTCTTCACTTTCTTTTAAAGCAAAACATCAAGTTTACGACAGCAGATTGTTTTATTTTGGTCCATTAGAAAGGTGCGGAAAAGCTTAATGTTGACCTGGAAATGACTTTACAGAAAAAGTGTGTTCACCAGTGTCGAGGCAGCCCTCCTGGGACAGCAGTGGTTTTAAACCTGCCCCTGAAAATGACCCTTGAATATGTTGTAAAAATGACCCTCGGTTCCATTCCCTCAGACCGCTCCTCCATCCCCCGGCCTCCCCAGTCTGTGGACGGAGCCTCCACCTGCTTCTCCTGGCAATTCCGGCAACATGAGTCAGTACTTTGACCACTACGATGTCAAGGAGTCTTCTTACCACACCTTCATCTCCCGCTTGGACTTACATGTGTGCAACGACAGCTCTTCAATGGATGAAGGTTTGTAGCAGAAATAACAAGTCTTCATTTTTCAGTATTTAACTCCAAATTGAGATTTCCTTCTGAAACGCTTCTTCATATGACAGTTATACGAGGCCTCGGACTAAACAGTTGTGATATCATGATGTCTCTTAGATGAGCCCCCCCCTGTGGGCTTGCAGGGTGCGATGCAGCTGACCTTCAGGAAGCTGGGATTCGACTACTATCCCATTCACAGACCTGGTGAGTGTGATCACTGTGACCGCTGACTACAGTTGACCCTCAGGCCTTTCACTTTCACCACAGCGTTCAGCCCACAGGATTATTTTTCAAGCCGACTAGAGG